TCAGCAGCAGTACAAATGCTCATAGGCCCAGCAGTAATCAGAAGAACATGTACAGAAGGCCTGCAATGTTAACTTTTCTTTCTCTTTCAAGTAAACTTAAATGAATTAGAAAAATGATTTGCATTGAATATTAACTGTGAAGGAACAGTAGGTGGCAGGATTCAGAGGTGCGCATGGTTTCTTTTTAGGCAACCACTTGGTGGATCATCAACAGCTTGTCCCTATTCTGAGAACCAGTGATGTAGAGAATCAGGAAAGACGAAACCATGTGCGAGTAAAAGGAGGCTCTGAAAACTTGGAGAAAGGTAATCTTACCCTACTGCTACAGAGTAGTACCAAAGAGGTGCTAAATAGGAGTAATGTGCCAGTAGTAAGAGCTCTGAGAACATTTGCTTTCTCCAGGGATGTAAGTAAGGAGACGAGATACAAGTAGAGCAAAAGAAAGACTTAGTGAAAAAGCAAAGGAGAAACAGTATGTTATGCGAGAGTTGTAAAACTGAGAGGTTTCAGATTTTGTTCAAACTTTATGTATAATGCAGGAACTGGAAGAGGGGAAGAGGAAAAGAAAACATGGAAGGCCTACAACTGAAAGCATTGTCTCTGTGTGTGAAAAGTGTTAGATGTCATACTTTTTTATGACAGCAAGGCTCTGGGCTCAGAGACCCTGTAAGTTTCTTCCCGTATCACAACCTATAATTTAAGCACACCAGTGTGATGAAAAATGAGAAGGCTAACTAGCAACCTAAAAGAAAAAGAAAGGTTAATAATATATCTAGGGCTTCTAATGAAACTTCTCTTTCTGTAAGATTATATTTTTCATCAAACTGCATGGACAAGTTCTCATGCTATGTTTTTAAAGCTGATTACCTTTTTCTGTGGATTAACCTCAGTTAGGGTACTAAAGCTTTTAGCCTGAAACCATGCCAACCTTTACAAATCATGTTAAGCATACCAAATTAATCGGCCTTGAGGTAAAAAACCAAAACCCTATCAGAAAATAAGACGCAACTTTTAGACATTGAAGTGCCTAAGTTGTGCTTAGTGGTTTGGTTTTTTAAGATCCTTTTGATGAGGAAGAAAGGGCAATACAGAAAGATTTTATCCTAGCAAGGTAAGACTAGGTGGAAATACAGTATATGGAAGTAGGTAAGAACACAATAAGCCAATATTTTAATTTCTGATGCAGAATGGATGTCCTTGGATTTTTGTTATCATATATCACTGTGTGGAATATATCTTTCAATATATATTTTCAGCAGTTAACAATGCAGGGATCACTAAAATCTTTCCTGATCTGTGGTGGGGGATGTTTTCTGTTATTACAGATGAACTGACTGGCATTCTTAAAAAATTGTCACTTGAGAAATACCAACCTATTTTTGAGGAACAAGAGGTATGTCTTTTTTTTAAAGACCTTTTTTTTTTTTACTGTTTTAGAGAAAGTAGAGTGTGACACGCATCAGAATTGTGACCCAGAATCTCAAATTTAAAGTTTTACAACCATTTCTAGTTGCAGAGAGGACCTTGAAATATCTACCAGGCAGTATTCGTGGCATTTTCCAGGATATTGCAAATATCAGTGCTTTTTACACTGAACCTACAATTTTGGTATAGACAGATCCTTCAGAGGTTTTTTTCCCCTCCTTGTTTTTACACTCTGCTTTTTCTATATATGTCTATATCCAATGTGGCCAAACAGTTTAAAGGACATACTGTATCATCCCTGGAATCACAGCTGGAACCTCATTTACAGATGGAGAACAGCAGGGTGTGAGTCACTGAAATGGCTGCTTTCTCTTCTTTATCCACTATGAATAAGCAACAGGAGAATTAGATCAGGGAACCTAAGCATCATTGTAGATGAGACCTATGACAGTGACTTGCCTGAAGGATGCAATGAAAGGAAACATTGCTGAAAATAAGTGAAATTAATTCATTACAATGGTTAAGACAGTATCAGATGTGAGCAATAATTGTGTGTTTGGCCAAAGGCAGAGACTAGTGAATGGACATACAATAAATTGACCTGAAAATAAGTGAAATTAATTCATTACAATGGTTAAGACAGTATCAGATGTGAGCAATAATTGTGTGTGTGTTTGGCCAAAGGCAGAGAGTAGTGAATGGACATACAACAAATTGACCTTGCTGCAGAATTCAGGATTCAGAGCCACAAACAGAGATTATTTAGCTGCATCACAGTACAATGGGCTTATTATTGTTCCCCTACATCATAGGAAAGGGTAGAAATTAGTATGCTCTGTGTGTAAAGGTTATATCAATATGAAAAGTTTTAGATATTCTTTCTTATCACAGCCTTATGGATGTGTTGATATAATAAAAACTGACATATGAACAAACCCTAGGTTTTCCTTGGGAGACACTGGAAAAGTGCACACGATATTCTGAAATTCCAAAAATACTTGGGAGGGGGAGGGAGAAGAAATGAGAGTAATCTTGGGCTTATTCAAGTAGCTGCTACTGTAAGTAGAGGAATTTTTGTGGAGAGAATATGTTTTGTATTGATAGAGCTTTTCTGAAAAAATACATTAAAAATCCATTGATAATTTAAATACACTATCATAATTGAATTATTAACAGCAGATTTAAAACCTGACAACGGAGTGGTAAAGTAGGTACTGTTTGGTTGTGGAGAGAATATGTTTTGTATTGATAGAGCTTTTCTGAAAAAATAAATTAAAAATCCATTGATAATTTAAATACACTATCATAACTGAATTAACAGCAGATTTAAAACCTGACAGTGGAGTGGTAAAGTAGGTGCTGTTTGGTGCTGGTAATTCATGAAAAATTTTTGTGTGCACAATATTTACAGTAAGTTTATACAATTAAAAAAAAAACCAAAACACTTTAAACCTGTAATAGTGAATCTTGGCCTAGGTAAATTTGTCTTGTCTTTTTTTCTTTTTTCTTTTCATATGCAGGTGGATATGGAAGCCTTCCTTACACTTACTGATGGTGATCTGAAAGAGCTGGGTATTAAAACCGATGGATCAAGGCAGCAAATTTTGGCAGCTATTTCTGAACTGAATGCAGGAAAGGTACATTTTGGAGTACTGTACTTAGTAAATTATTTCAAAGTTTGCTTATATTGTCAATTCAACATACATTTCAAAATTCAGTTGCAGGTGTTAGTTAGAAAAGCCAAATTAATGTTTTCCAAACATTCCAAAATTTCCAAATATTTAGTGTATTTGATTAGTGATTCAACATACATTTCAAAATTCAGTTGCAGGTGTTAGTTAGAAAAGCCAAATTAATGTTTTCCAAACAAAATATTTAATGTATTCGATTAGTGAAAAATATTTTCCTTTGTGGTACTCCCTGTTCTCTTTCATTAACTCTTTCCTAGTTCAGTGACTGTACAGTTATTTTACAGAGTATTGGAAATTATATCAGAAGCTACTGGTACGATAAACACAGGCAGTACTGCAATTACTGAATGTTGATTTCAATGGTGCTAAAAAGAATCATCTGGCCACTACAGTCCAGCTAGAGAATATGATGTAAAGGGAAAGGTCTCCTTTGTTTTGCCTACCAGTTTTTTATTTCTCTGTGATTAGGTAAATAGCACTTCTCTCATTCCTTACACTTTTATTGCCTTTTAATTTTATATTGACATAAATAAATTTGCTAAGAATGGCATACAATAAGCAATGTTCTTGTCAGAGGGATTATGGACCAGAGCATCTCTTTAATTAGGCCTGCTGACACTTCTCAGCTGCTTTTTCAGTTTTGAGGTCCATTCTCTGTCTGATACTGGAAGCTCGAATAAACAAAACATAATTTCCCCAAGTTAAGATCAACAGCAATAGTGATGAGGCTAAAAATTAGGGGAGGTGGATGATGTTCCATGCTATAAAGCTATGAAGAAAATAATGAAAATGTTCCTATTGCTGTCAGGTAGTTTCAGGAAGAGATTACTACAAGGTAATAATGCATTTTTTAAACAGAAATTTCAGAGTACCTTATTTTAATTTATTGTGCTTTTACAGGGACGAGAGAGACAGATTTTACAAGAAACTATACACAACTTCCACTCTTCCTTTGAGAGTAGTGTTAGCAACACACGACCTCCAGGTCATTCCCAGTGTAAGTAGCACCTTAAATTAATTGAAAAATGTATGGATACTTTTAATTAATACTGGCTAAAAGACAGAATGTGACAAACAAGCCAGTTAACTGCTTTCTGGGTTAATGATTGGTGTGTGTCAGTATCTTTTGCTGAGACTGTAGAGAAGATTTCAAGGTAAAAAGGTAGAGATACCTGTCAGATTTTTATACACACTGAAGTACTATCTGAAATAAGCATAAGATTTTTGTTATGCATTACTGAAAACAGAAAATTGATGTAAGTATAGCAAACTAGTGTACACTATACTGTATATAGTGTGTGTATACATATATAGCAGCAGTGGGAGATGCACTTCTGTATGATACATAATTTACTTTTGCATACTCTACAGGAGACCATTTTCTTCAGTGTGATCAAGCAGATTAAATATATTCAAGGTTTGCAATTCAGTATACTGGCTTAGATAGCTGTGTTAATTATGTATTTATGTATGTATGCATGTAGTTATTTTGTACTGGTAATATTTTTATGTGATTTTCTATAGTTGGTTTCTTTGGAATACATCTATTCCAACCACTAGTATTAACTGCTAGGCATTGCTGGAGAAACTGCCTTTTAAAATGTACTATCTATAATCAAAATGTAGAGAAAGATGTTGCTGACCTGTAACAAATGAATACATTTACTACAGTCACCTCTAGATAGGAAAAGTTGCAAATCTCTGTCCTGCCAGCCACCTGAGCCAAAGGCAGATATGCATCTGTTACTCAAGGTTAATGAATGGCACAAAACCTATTCAAATGTGTATTTCTGGATCCATGTTCCAGGAGGAACATGAGGCCATTCAACAGCTTTCCAGAAATTCACCATGTTGAAGTGCCTCTCACTGTCCTTCAGTTCCTTATTTTGCTGCTTGCGTCCACTCACAAAATCATTTATTTGTTTAGTGGTTATGTTATTTCATGTATTTGTATGCTTTAGGAGACCTTAATAGTGAGCAAGTCCCAGTTGTTGCAATCTCAGTCAGCTGGATATCACTAGATATGCGAAAGCTAACTGTAGTCCTACTGCTTTCTTGGGGAAAATTGGACATTGCTGGGGTAGTTAGTCAATGTGGGCTACTTTCTGTATTCTGTATAGTCTGCTTCGCCGAAAACCACTATCAGGTGTCGCTGTATGCATCATGCAGCTTACTTCCCATTCTCAGAGTAGTCAGCTTGTGTGGGAACTTCTGGATGTCTCTTGATAACATCCCAGACTTGAAGAGCCTCTTCTGTAGGTACTACTAGGTGAGCAGAAGCTACTGTTTGGGATTTGATAACATGGTGCAATGAACTGGAATTACGGAAGAACTGAAGAAGCATACAGATGTAATGTGTCTCCAAGCAACTTGCTGAGCCTAACCACTGAGCTTAAAAGTGTCTTGAAGACAGCAAAAGACAATAATGGCGGCACAGAGTTGGGGAGAACATCCTCTTCTAAGAATGGAGACAGCAGTTGCTCCTGCTGACCAGTTGACAAGATGCTGCCATCAGAGATCTAGCTTTTGGGGTTTTGTGTGTGAGAGCTCCATGAAATAGATTTGGCTGTAAAACAGCAACAGAAGCACTAGCAGAGAAGGAAGAAGAAGAGAACATGTAGGTAAAAGAAGTTTCTGCACCAGGTAAGCTGCTTTTTATTATAAAAAGTAGCAGCGGGACCCTTATGCAGTCTCTGGAACTTAGAAGTAATTTCCAGGAATGTGTAATATTTTAGAGCATAAGAGCAGCTGTACCAGGTCAGATCCAAGGTCCATACAGTTGTGTTCAGCTTTGTCATGTGATCTCATTTGACGTTGGTGTGAAGAGCTGCTTGCTTTCATTTGCTGTGAACTTGACTTCTTTTGCTTCATCCTACTGGATCAGAAGACAATTGTTCCCTCCTCACTGCCTCCATGCCACTGACAATTTTACAAATATCTGTCACACTCTTCCTAATTCATGTTTTTTCCAGACAGAAGACTTAACAGGGTGCTTAATCATCCCCTATACCATATTTTTTCTGACCTCTTTTCCTTTTCTACTATATCCTTTTAGACTTGGAGATACCAGCCTAGCATACAATATTCAAGATGTAGGCATACCTTGGATTTACACATGACAGAGTGATGTTTGGTTTTTAGTTGTGTTCTCTATTTTTAGTTCTCTTGCTGTTTCCTAGTTATTTCTAGTACTCTGCTTTTTTGGCTATAACTGAAGACTGGTATTAATTGGAACTGCCTCTTAAATAGCAGATCATCTACTGCATTCAAGCTCAGAGCCTATCATTTTATATAACCACTCATACATTGTTTTTTCCATATGCCTTGCATCTTATTACTTCATACTGATCTTCATCAAATTTTGTCTGCCATCTTATTGGTTGGGCACTGATGTCTCATGAAGTCCTTTTGCCAGTCTTCTCTTTGCCTTTCTTTTTATTTACAGCGATAACTTAGGAAAGTTTGTCACTTCACTCTATATGCCCTTTCAAAATCATATTGAATATCGTGAGTCCTCGTGCAGATCCCTATGAAATGCTAGTGGTGAATCTCTCTACTATGGAAAAAAATCACTGTTTACTCCTACCGTCTGTCCTCTGCCTTCCTAACCAATTATTTATTCACATAAGAAATTTCTTTTTATTTTGTGGGTTCCTTATTGTCTTAAGAGCCAGCCTTGGACCTTGCGAAATGCCTTGTAAAAATCCAGGCATGAAGTGGACCTCTTTTATCTACAATACTGTTGGCACCTTCAAGGAATTCCAGTAGGTTGGTGAGGCAAGACTTTTCAAATCCCTTTTTGATTGTTTTCCACAAAATTTCAGATTCTTTGTTATAGTTTGTGCTAATCTGCCTCATACTACTGGCCATCTCACTGGTCTGTGTTTCCCTCTATCTCCTCTTGAACCATTAAAAAAAATTAGCATAATTTTTATCACTTCTCAGTTATGTGGCAATTTAGACAAGAGCCTGTGCTCTGACTCAGCAGTTTAGCTGCTTAATCCTTGTGTTCCTCTAGAACATCTGGCTTAGCAATTTGTTATTATTTGCTTTGTGTATTTGTTTCATAACCTTTTTTACCAATACTTCAGGTTGAGATACCTTGGATTCCCACATAAAGAAGGCTTCTGAAATGGGAACCTTCCCAAGCTTTTCCATGGTGAATACAATTAGTTTTTCTGATGTGAACTTACTTCCCTAGCTCGTTACAGTCTAATCATTGATTGGCATCATGGCATCTGCAACTGGCTGCCTCTTGTGATGCATGTGAAATTTTTGTGCTTTTTGCATGGTCCACAACCACTGGTTTCTCTACAGCTCTTCCTAGGAGCCTGTCTGGACACCATTAACAAGCAAACCACTTCATGATTTGCCCTTTTAGAAAGCTAGATGTAGCTGACAGGATAATACAAACATCCTGCTCTTCCAGCTGCGTCACACCTATCACTGTGATGTCCTCAATATTTTGAGTAATTTTAAAAGCTCAGTACCTCAAATGGAGTGGCTGCCAGTGTAGCTCTGCTTTTATGGAGTTTCCAGCCTGTAGGGGTGTAAAGAAGATAATGAAACACAATCTGAGTATGTCCATAAGACTCAGAAATTAAAATGCAGGTGAAAAGAAACTAAATCCTCACTTTCTGGAAATGTAGCTTACAATTGTGGGAGGTCTGTAGGCTGACTGCCATCACCAAGCCTGCGAGTGTCTACAGCTTCTGCACCCTTCCCCATCTATAACTCCAACAACCACTTAGCTTCAGCTCTCCACAAAATGCCCCAGTCCACACTGCCCAGGCTCAGTCCTTCCCCTACTGCCACTGGCTCAGGAGCTGTTGTTGCTCATCAAACCTGATACAAGATGGCAGGCAACAGAAATAGGAAAGCATCTGGATGAGTCAGTCTGGAGTGGAAAAGAGAACTGCAGTGATTATCTGTATTTACGCTTCTAAGGAACACAGTAGAAGGAAAACACAGAGAAGCAGAAAAAGTAAAAGCAAGGCCATCAGAAGTAGGGGATTGATGGTATAACTAATTTCACACAACAGACTTGTTTAGGGAAGATACTACAGTTTCTTGATGTTTTTTTGGCAGTTCAAAATCAGTTGCTGGCTTCTTGTATCCTCAGCTGGCTTCTGGTTGAGCACCTCCTGCTGAGGTCATTGCTCTTGAACTCGCTCTGATACTTGCTACAAGAACTTGTAGAAAAGTTGTTGAATGTTTGTTGGGTTTTGGCAGGTGAGCTAAGGACATGGACCAGTTGGAGCAAGTCCAGAGGAGGCCACAAAGATAATCAGGGCGATGGAGAACCTCTCCTATGAAGACAGGCTGAGAGAGTTGGGGTTGTTCAGCTGGGGAGGGACTTTTTACAAGGGCTTGCTGCGACAGGACAAGGGGCAATGGCTTTAAACTGGAAGAGGGAAGATTTAGATTAGATCTTAGGAAGAAATTCTTCCTGGTGAGGGTGGTGAGGCACTGGAAGAGGTTGCCCAGTGAAGCTGTGGATGCCCCATCCGTGGAAGTGTTCAAGGCCAGGCTGAATGGGGCTTTGAGCTACCTGGTCTGGTAGAAGGTGTCCCTGCTCATGGCAGGAGGGTTGGGACTAGATGATCTTTAAGGTCCCTTCCAACCCAAACCATTCTATGGTTCTGTGATTCTATTTCAGTTTATTCCAAAAGAGTACAAATAAAATCCCATATGCTTCTTACAATATGGATGTAAGGAAGTGTTACATTGTAGATGTGTCATAAAAAATGGAAACAGTTCATGGAGTTCCCTTGCTCACATCTGGGGCTTGTAGCAGAATTTGCCATTTCTACCAAAATGACATGCAAAAGCAAGAGAGCATCCAAGGTTTATACTCTGAAAGACACAATCTTCTTTTTCTCCTAGGGCATTTCTTAATCTTATTATGAAAAAAAAAATTAACAAAGATTTGCTGGAGGTAAAGCTAAGTGCTAATTAGCTTAGTTTTTCTTCTAATATCAAGTTTATTGAAATGCTCGAAAGAGAGCCTCATCACTTGGTATAGATATCCAGCTGCTCTCCCCCACCTAAACATAACACTTCTCTTGTAACAGGTGGGAAGAACAGAGAACACTCCCAACATCTAGCAGGGGCACTGAACAAAGGGAGGATTTAGATACCAAAAGCATGAACTCAGTATTTTCCAGATACAAGTTAAATGAAGAGTAACTGTGCCTGTGATGAAAAAAGAATATGATGTCATTCAGTCTTATAATCCTTTGCAAAAATTCTGGTCTTCCATTTTCTCTTTACTATGATAGTATGTTGCATACTGATACACACACATATGTATCTGCAGATACCTATATACTTTAAAAGATGTGACAGAATAAAGTGACAGAGAGTGGGGCATCATTTCTGTATTTACTTTCCGCTTTTGGATTCAGAGTCAAAAACATCAAATGAAAATATCCAGAGGAAGGGAGTTACAGAGATTGTAGAGTGAGAAGTAAAAATAGGAGCAAAACCAATATAGACTTGCAAATAAAAATCCTACAGGATTCAGGTTGTCACTTGCTGGAAAGGTACACATTGAGAAAAGAGATACTGGAAAGGTTTGTGGCAGCACATGACCTTTTCACATGTGACTGACTTTTCACACCTTCTCCATACAGGAGAGGGCTTAAGATGAGTAAAATGAATTACAGGGTCAAATTGTTGGATTGTGGTATAACAATGATACTGGGAAATCTGGGCCTGTTTCTGGTAATTGTGGAATTACTCTGTCTTCTTTAAAGCTGTGAGTCTTGCTGGTTGCAGTTTTTCAGTTGTTTTGTCTTTGTTTTTTCTTTTACAGCACCTGGCTGCTCTGTAAAACCACAAGAAGCTGTTTCTCCTAAAAGGTAGCAACTGGAAAAAAAGATTTTTTTTTTTTTATTGTGAAGTTTGACATCTGGCTGACTAAATCCAAGTGTAGAAATGAAAATTTGAAAAGTTACTCCTAACTATGCCTTATAGGACTTTCTACAGTAATGTGGTTAAGATTCAAATCCCACAAAGGAAATAATAAAGAGATTGCTTTTATAGTTCAGACTAAGTGTTGAATTGTTCAAGGCATCAGTGGTCTGGATTTGAGAAGAACAAAGTCAGAAGAACAGGAAGAATGAATGACTGTGTAAGAAGATTCATGTTTTCATTCTGCTCTTGCCCATAGATGAACAACCCATAGGAGGCCTACATGGGCACAGTCGAGAACAAGAAAAGCGTGGAAGAAGGCATGAAAACCACCAGGAATTATGAGAGCTTCTACATGGAGAAATATATAAACTGAATGTGCCTCTATTGAGTGGATACCAATAAAGGAGTCTAAATTGAACGTGTAGTGGTTTCATGAGAAGGAATATAAAGGAAAAGTAATGCTGCATTCTTCATTAACCAAAATACACTTTATCTATTCAGTATTAAGAGGTTAGAACAGCAGTAAAAGTAAATATGAAATACCTGTTTGTAAAAATAGCACTTTATTTAAGGAAATGCATAATCTGTCACCAATATTTAAACAGAAATAGTGTTAAAATATTTTGTATTGCTGATTGGTTGTTTTGAGAATAAAACCATTTAACTGATACTGGCTGGGTTTTTTTGAACAGTAACACTAGCAGATCCTTAAAATACATTTTTGTGACTTGATTTTTGTAATAATTTTGAAAGGACTAGTTATAGTAATTATGAGTAGAAATAATTTTCTGCTTAATAAATCTCAATTTTTGTTGAGCAATTAAAATACAAGTCACTAGAAGCCTCTGACACTGTATTTATCTTTGTGAAGACTCACAAACGTGTAACTTGACCACTGGCTGAATTCAGGGTGAGTCCAGGAGTACTAATGCAGGTAAAGTCAAGAAGATCTTGGAGCTCCAGTGCAAAGGAGTGATCTCAAGTAATTACTTCTGTACAGAACTAAAGATGTTATATTTCTCCACCCTCCTCACTGTACTGGTTTTAGTGGAGTTTAGCAAAAACAGGTAGAAGTGGCTGTACTGGTAGACAGAGATAACAGCACCAGTGAAAGCGGTGATGATGCTTCTGTCATTTGGGTGCCTCAGGGTGTGTCATCTGGTTCTGTGATGGCTTCATTGGATTGGCCATCTGAGGTACAGCTCCAGGTTGGTGACAGCAAACAGCAGAGCAGCTGAGCTGCACCACGTTGTGCAACTGTGTTTTGTCAGAGCTGACCTTGAACACAAGTAGCTAAATCCCTAGGAAGAAGAGGAGACAAGGTTACAGGGGGGTATTGCAGAAAAAAGATGGCTACGAGCTGATGAGGGCAGTTAGAGCCTGCTAGTACCCTGAGGTCCTTGGCGGTCATGCTATTAACATTTCGGGTGTTAATGGTATAGCCATGTGCAAAATAATTTTTGTTCCATTTTTCTTTTTCAGTGCACATATGTCAACAAACTTACAACACTGTCAACATTTAGCATGGTATTTTATGTTTCCCACATGTCTTATGCCCGAGAAAATCACTCCTTATGCAGAATTGTGCTTCAGGATTAATTTCAGGTTTAGTGTAAAAATATGTAATTTCTGATTTCACAGTTTTCAAGAGCTGCTACTAAAGATGACATGGCAGGACAGATCTACAGAAATGTTGGGTGCAAACCATATAGGATTAAGTAAATGGCCCTGTTCTTTCCTGAAAAAACATATGGACAGTTTTGGTTAAAACATTTCAAAATGCAGCAGAGAAATAATTGCAGCCTCTTACTAAGAGTAGGAAACAGTTGCTGCTTCTGAGCCAAAAACGTGCAGTGGCACCTTGAAGCTCCTGTCAATGTAAGTGGGAGTAAGTGATCTGGAATGAGCCGTAACATCTCGCTTATGACCTAGTGCCTATGGGCCCTATGGCAGCTCAATTTCCCTGTACAGTTTTGTGCTTTTAATGCAACAGGTGACAATCCAAACATCCAGTACACTGCAGTCGCCTCAAGCCTGCTAACGGGGAAGCCTCAAGGTGAGGCAGCTTCAGCCATTCCTGTTAAAAGCTTGTGGGCCTTATTTAGAAGGAGAAGTATTCACCTGCAATAAAATCGGGAGTGAGTGTTAATGATTTCTTTTTTTTAGGTCCTTTTCAATAAGACATTGAACAGTAGTTCAGTGTGCAAAACACTTTGCAAGGTTGAGAGATGCATTCTTTCTGCAATCTATGAGGGTTCAAATTCATATATACCATTGCAGAGAAGACTGTAGGAACCTCAAGGCTATAAGGCAAGGTAGGGGCATGCTTCATTCCTCTGGCTGAATGTCTTGGTGCACAGAAAATAATTCAAGATTCAGAGAGTGTGGCCCTGTAAGACATTGGTCTAGGATGGGGAAGACTTAGGCTTCAGTTCCTCTAGTTGATGTATTCATTTACTAATTCCTAAGCTACATAGTGACTGAGGATGAATAGTGCTATAAATTTGGGAATGTTAGCCAAAGTGCATCAGAGGAGGAACAGCAGAGATTTAAATGGAACAACACTGTGGAAGGAGACCTACCAGCGGACAAGTGTAGGCTCTTTGTGTTTACACAACAGGCTGAAAGGGTTCCTGAGACTGTCTCGTCAACAAGTCCCGCTGTGGAAAGAGTTAGCTATATTAATGCAGGAACCAAAAGACATGGTTTTAAAGCTTGGGAACCTTTCATATCTTCTCCTGCACTTACTCCTTAAAGCTGGTTTGTTCCTTCTGCCTGATGTAGCTGCCATCGTGAGTGGAGAAACAAAACGAGTTGCTTACCATGGCCGCTCTTTATGGCTCTGAGAGGAGGTAAGTTTGGAGACCGACACCTACGTTTAGGTGTCTATGTGTAAGGGCTGACATGGGTCGCTGTATGAACTCCACCGTAGGCAGCAGAGGTCTGGTCAGTACAGTCACTGGGGCCTCAAAATCCAGTATCTGACAGCCTAGACCAGAAGCTTGATTCAGTTGTCCAGACGTCCACTGGCACTTGCATGCCCTAAGGCATCCAAAGCACCCATGAGGGGTGCCAGGCATGACACTAAGTGAAGGTTACGATTGGTTTGTTTGCTGCAGTCACTTGGACAAAGAGACTATTCAGAGATGGAGACGGTGATGTCATTGACCTGTCCTGGTTTGTCACAGACATTCAAAGGTGAAAAGCTGTTTCTCATTTGCTGTTCATTTTCTGTGTCCTCATTTTAGTTCAAATGAAGATCTTTGTGAGCAAAGTTTGCTTACCTCACAATGAAAAGTGATACCCACTGGGTCTTGCCAAAGAAGTAATCTCTACAAGAAGCAGCTCTTGTTCTGTTCTGGTCAGTCTAGAATTACGGACTTGACTGACCTGTAGTTGTTAACCCTAAGATGTCTGATGTTGCTGAGGAGTACTGTTATTTTTCAAGAAGCTTTTATAAGGTTTTTTGAATTTAATTTTCCTTTTTTTCTGCACTTTGAGCATTAATCAAGATCAGATTTTAAACAAAGATGCTTCATTATCTGGAAATGATTCAAGCAGTCATCTGTAGTATTTCTCATGCTTCAGCAAATGCCTCAGAAGCCAGGTAGATTCTCAAGGGAACAACTTTGGTTTCCAGAGTGAAGTGGAACATAAAAGTTTGTGCAAATAGATTTCTTTGATACCAAGGCCACTTAGTCTAGAATTGCTTGGCTGGTCTGACTTTGACACTAATAGCCTCAAACTCGCCACTTCTAGATTTTATTTCAAAGCCCTCTTGGCAGTACAAGGGTACATTTAGTGGGAACAAGTTTTGTCCATTAAACCCAAAACTTCTTATGCTATATTTAATGCTCATTTGGAACACTTAATTTCTAGTCTCTCAGAAGTTTGTATTATTGAAATAAACTGTTAATGCAACGTCCTTGTTAAAAGTGTCACAGCAAAGAATTGTTTCAATGTAATTTTTGCCATTTGTCACTCACAGTATTCCAGTGTGCATTAAAACTTAATGGTTAACACACACTCATAGAAACAAAAGCACATAGAATTTTGAAGTATGATTGCCATATTCCCAACATTGCATCTATTGTATTTTAATTGGCTTCTTATTCCTCTCAGATCTCATCAGTAGGTATGTACAACACTTTCAAAATAGGTCTGTCTGGTTTTGAGAGGAGTGCCATATCATGGCTGGTAGCAGAGTGGCTAGTGCTGTACTGGAGCAGGGCTCTTGACGGTGATAATCACGTAACTGTGAATGTACAAAACCAGGACCATTCAAGACACCTTCTTATAAATCATCTAAAAATATTCTGTGTTCATGCATATACTTGATATGTGGCTGTGAGTTCTTGTTTTTAGTAAGCCTAAGTGATTTGTGGCACCATAGAATCAGTGGCCGGCAATTAGCTGGAGCAGAGATTTCCCTTTTACTGAATTGTGGAACAAAATCACTTTGCACAGAGAGCAACCAGCAAAGTGCAATGGATTTGATCACTGTGGGCCTGATTTCAACTTTTCTCAACAGATTTCTTCATACGTGTTTTTTTTCCTAAGTCACTCTCTGCTACGAGTTTGTCCTAAGAAGGAGAAGATGGAATAAAAGGAAAACAAATTGGAAAAAAGTTAGGGATAGAAGCACGGAGAGTATTTTGACTAGATTGGGATTACTGGTTTTCTTTCCAGGATCTGCCGCTCCTTTAGGCTGTTTCTTGGATAGTCACAATTAATATTAAATGCCCTGGGGCTCACTTCCTTCAGCCGCTCAGGACTCCAAAGCACGCACTTTTTATCGCAGGCTTGGTTCAAAATCCATTGCTCACATTCCTTTATTCAGACACAGAGCAAACAGAAAGCATCATTCCCTGTGCTGGTAATGGTGTACGCAGAGGTCCACCTTTCCAGCCGTGGACAATTCCTCTTACAGTGAATTTCATAGTATTTTTTCAGCTATGTTCCAAGCATCCCATCATTTCAGTTGCACAGCGATAGTA